TTCTCCTAAGCACTTCCATACTTCCACTGGTATGTCACCAGGACCAACTGACTTTCCACTCTTCATCCTCTTCAGGGCTTTTCTAACTTCATCCTTTCTAACCTGATCTACCTCCTTCCTACTAGTCTCTGGTTCCTCGTTTCTACTTTCCCTTTCATTTTCCTCATTTAACAACTCCTCAAAGTATTCCTTCCATCTTTTCATCATCTCCCTAATCACTGCAGCTGTAGTCTCCCAATCATCTGGGAATTTCTCAACACGGCCCAGAACTGCCCTTCCTTCCTTCCTGAAGTCTTCACAACATGTCTCTTTCCTTAGTTTCCACCACTTGATCTTCTGTTCTGTCTTCACTCTCTTCCTTTTTGTCACCTCCATCGTCATTTTGCACACTACCATCCGATGTTGTTTGGCTACACTCTCACCTGTCACCACCTTACAGTCTCTAATCTCCCTCAGATTACCTCTTCTACATAGAATATATCTATATCTATCTGTGTGGACCTGCCTCCACTCTTGTAAGTCACCCTATGTTCCTCTTTCTTTTGGAAATATTTGTTTACCACAGCCATTTCCATTCTCTTTGCAAAATCTACCACTGCCTGTCCTTCTACGTTTCTCTCCCCAACACCGAACCTACCTATCACTTCCTCATCTCCTCTGTTCCCTTCCCCTACATGACCATTAAGGTCTGCTCCAATCACCACTCTCTCTCCTGGGGATACCCTCTACCATCCAATCTAGCTCCTTCCAGAACTTCTCCTTTTCTTCTAAAGTGCTGGTACTGTCACTAAAATACAGAAACAGAAACTTTAAGCTAACATTGGCCAAGTCAGTGGTTCCCTAATTGAGGAAGAAATATTTTTGAATGTCTTGGTAATAGTGCTGTACAAGTACATCTTTTGTCCTGTTCCACTCCAATTACAACATCCAGCTGCACCGCAGGTCACAGTTAGTTAGTACAATGACTAGATTTATTCACAATGACTAAAGTAAAACACCCACAGACGTGTCTGGTGAAGAACCAGTTCTTGCTGCATTGAATTTCAAAACACAATGAGAGGCATAAATGCCCTCCTTAGAAACTGCCTATGACTGATTGGAAAATGTACGTAACTTTCTCTTTCTCTTCTCTCTCTCTTTCTTCTGTTGAGAAAATTGTAGGAAGACACACACACTCTGAAGTTATAAAAGAAGTCGTAAAATATAAATGTATAAAGCAAAATCATAGGAGAAGAGAATATTAAAGGTGTGTGATGTCCTTTTACAATATAAGTATACATTTTTTAAAGTATACTCCAGAATACTAAAAAACATCCTAAATTCTTCTGACTCATGTAATTCCGACATTTATCACACCTGCTCTTCTATCTTGTCTTGTCTGTCCAGCTCCGCTTCCACTGCATCAAAAAACTCTTCTTCATTGATCAGGCTGTTTGGCCCTTCCTGTGGACAGAAAATAACAAATATATTTTATGTTTTATTTATCAACTGAGAGCATCCTAAAAATGGCATATTTACAAAAAGACACAACTCTTTAGACTAGAGTGTGAACTAATCAGACATGGAGACAATTGGAGACAATTAGACATAGAGTTAAATGATCATTCTATTTTGGTTTGTACATTTCAACATGAACAGGTCTGCTCTTGCCTCATAGTCTGGGCCTCCGTAGTGTGACTTTGTCTTCAGTTCGTTCACAGCACACTTGTAGGCATCTTCTACCCTCCTCCTCTTCTCCAACTCCTGCAAAGATACAGACACCACAGTGAAATATTGTTAGAGTACAGTGGTGACATGGAGACACAAACACCAAATGAGTCTGAAAAATATGAGCTGATCCTTATCATTAAGATACAGTTTTTTTAATTGTTTAAGTAATTATTGCACACTTTCTGTAAATCCTATAAACTTCATTTCACTTCTTAAATATCACTGTGTTTGTTTGCTATATGATATATTTAATTGAAATTGCTGTTCCAAACAACCAATGATCCATAAAGGAAAATCTTGAAAATGATCAGAGTGCCCAAACTTTTTCATTTCATTGCTTTTGTTGTTGGAAAATAAATCCATACCCCCTAAACAACCTCAGTTCCTGTCACAACCCAAGCAAGATGTTAATTCAAATGTTGGGAAGGGTAAGGATCAGCCCCAGAGGCAAGTTTCAGAGGAAACTCAAAGTTTTGGAGATGCTCTGTGTTTACAAATGCTTAACCTCTATTCCTGTATAATCTACCTGCAAAAATCAAGAAAAACATTTACTGTGGTCAAATCACAGGCAGGTCATATAACAAATATAACAAAAGCTGAAGCCTCGAGGCTTCAACAACATAAATAAATTGTTCACTTCAGTCAATATCTTAACTAGGGGTGTCAGATTAACACGTTTATTGCGATTAAATAATTACACATTTAGCGGGTTATATTTTTCTTGTGTATTTAATTGATTACTATTAAAGAGTGTCTCGTTACTTAATTAAGTATAGGACATGAATATCATTGTACTTTCAGATATCTGAGATTTAATGTCATAGTACTTTCAGACATCATAGATTTTTACATTATCGTACTTAGCTATATAAGCTATTCGAAATAAGTGTATTTTGGTATTAATATATATATACAGGTAAAGTAAGGCTAAACATATTAGTAAAAATTATACAGTGACACCAAGCCTATATTAATGTAGATGTGTATAAATGTTTATTAAACATATCTTATAAGCACATTTATCTGGATTTTTCTCTGTTAAGTATAAGAATTCTACATATATGCTAATAGTTGTCATTTACTCATATGTAGACATATTTATTATAATTACTGTATATTTATATCTGTTTACATGTATTTAACATAGATGCACTCTCACTAAAATATGTCAAGGCTACATATATATATGGAGTAACTAACTGTCCTCCTATTGTGATGTCTAAATAAATCCTGAGGTCATGACCCAGTCGTGATGCTGCTGTCTGTTGGGATGCTGTTGGCAGGCAGTACAGTAAAGAGCTTCCTCACAGCTGGTTGGTAGAAACCTCACTTTATCTCAGAATGAAAAATTCTATGATGAATCTAACACAGTTAAATGTAACAGAATCTGTACATTTCTCTTCCTCATCATCATCGGCTCCAGCATTGAACAGGCATCAGGAGTGGAGAATGAAAAAGGGAGCTCTGACGGATAAGGAGCAAAAGAAAGAGGGGACCAACCAAAAAAGAACCATCAAAAAGACAATTACACCTACATCTGTAAGCTGTACAAAGTTACTGGCCATATGAAGCACAGAGGCAAATGGTTCTGTCCAGCACCTGGACAGACTTTGGCTATGTTTTGGCGCGCTGAGTCGTTAGTAGTGATGGAAGACCGACTCTTTTTATAAAAATTATTATATATATGTATACAGTATATGTATTTATGTATGTTGGTATTTCTGAATATCTATGTATACAGTTCAATTTTAACACACATATTTAATTAAAATATGTTGAAATATTGACCATTTCTATGTATCTGTTTTGATCTTAAAAAAAGAAACAGTAAAATATCCATCCTCTGCCAATTACTTGAAAAAACAAAACAAAAAACAAAACAAATATAGTGGTATGCCTGCCTTGTCCCAGAAATCTCCACCTGTGGTTTGGTGCGGAAGAGTCCTGTGCCCTGTGCAGCACTGGCAATGCAAGCCTCCAGCATATCCTGTCAGGCTGTAAGACCGCATTGTCCCAAGGCCGCTACAGGGGAAGCGAAAGATTAGTTCACAGATAGTGATTCGTTCTTAGTGATTAGTTCACAGCAAAAGATTCGTTTACGGCGAAAGATTAGTTCACAGAGAATGATTCGTTCACAGCGAAAGATTAGTTCACGGCAAAAGATTAGTTCACAGTGAAAGATTAATTCACAGAGAGTGATTCGTTCATAGCGAAAGATTAGTTCACACTGAAAGATTAGTTTGCAGAGTAATTAGTTC